CCCCCATCCCCACCCCCCACAGCGATGCCCTGAGAAGCCGAGAGCGATGACAGGGAGTTTTTCAGGCCATCAAATATTCCCCCTCCCATTAAGGAAAAAAAGGAGACAGTTGCACAATGCAGTTTGAGAGTTTAATTGACAACGGACAGCAAGAGTGTCCTCTGTCCTTGGATGCATAAATCCAGCATTTAGACAGGCATTCTCCCGGTCGTGCTCTGAAAGAACCTTCTGTCTAGCGGCACGTCCAGATGGCAACACTTCTAATGCTCTAGCCAGAGGATGTTCATGCCATCTTTCTGTGGTTAACAAGCCTGTGATAGGAGAAAGGCTGAAGACGTATTGGGAGAGTTACAAATGGAAAGCCACGTGATTTTATGGATGGTGTCTCCACGTTCGAAGTGGAGACAAATGCCTCGACTGCAGAGATATTCCTGGGAGGTGGAGGGGGGATTTTCAGCCCAATTCTGGGGAATGGACTGGAGGTTTATCAAAGCACCATTTCCCAGAGTTAAAATATGGACAGCTGCATTCTTTAGACCACTGTTTCTCAACCTCAGCAACTTTAAGATGGGTGGACATTCAACTCCCAGAATTCCTCAGCCTGGCTGGGGAATTCTGGGAGTTGAAAGTCCACCCATCTTAAAGTTGCTGAGGTTGAAAAACCACTGCTTTAGAGTAACCCATTAATCTGCCAAGCCAAACTCTGTATTTGGTGTGACATTTCTATGCAGGACATTTCTCAGGCAAGTAAAGGTGGACCAGAGCTACCTTTACTTAAACAGAGACTAGGGTTAGGTGCAAGTTGCACCAGGTGAGTTCAGCCCGAGAATTTTTCTCAGCGGATACGAGGTTGTCAGAGTGAGAGTTTCATGAGGTTCCTTTGCAAGTTGCTGTCGCTTAAAAGAACGCAGGACCGAGAAATCTGTCCAGCTTTCTGGAGGTGGAGCACGTTCAGTTTTAAATCTGATTGTTTTATGTTCAGATGATGTGAAGATGGTTGCTACAGAAGCAGGAGGAACAGAGAAGATCAGATGGTTCTCTTACGTTAGATGACATGTTTTGTTTGTTGTGTCAACTCCAAGACATGCTGGGTTGAACTGCCGGGGCAAGGCAGGACAATCATCAGCAAACAAACAAACAACCTAATTTGAAGCTATTATTTATGTGCTTCTCAGATTTAGTAATCTGCTTTAAAACAGAGATGTAAGTCAAGGCTCTAGTTTCTCTTTTTTAATTTCGTGGGAAAAATGCGAAAACAGAGCCAAATGCAGGGCTTGCTCCTGGTGCTCACACCCCAACTTGCACCAAACAGCCACGCTCTTTTGCTGCACAGAAAGAATCATCGACTGAAGGTATCGAAGAAGTGCTGACCAGCCTCTTCTCGGAGAAATCTTTGCTTTCTAATGTGGACTTCAGGATACATAAAGCTGCCACGGATTTATTGGACGTTATTGTGCGGCGTGCGCAGGCCTCTGCAGAAGGCACGAGCCGATTCCCTCCCTTCTGAAAACACGCTGTGCCTGAAGAGCGTCTCGGCTGCTTCTGGCTCTGCCCGCTTTCCCTTCGTGGCCGCCACGAGGGCGTCACCGCCACTCAGCAGCCCCAGCTCCCTCTTGGCACCCCGGCCAATGGCGTCTCCTTTGTGGCTTCAGCAGATGAAGGCGTATCTTCAGTCTCCTGCGACCGGCTGGGTGATTAAGTAGCTGCCCCCGACCATTTTGGAAGGGGAGAGAAGTTCCCAGGCGTCCTGGTTTATCAGCTCCTTGCGCCTGCAGCCTCCCTCTCTTATCCAAACACCGCAGCCCCACAGTCAGTTGGGACGGGCCTCCTGCGCATGGGCCCGGCCCCCTCCCGGCCCGGTGCCAGGAGTCGCTCTGCAGGGCCCCGGCTTGAAGGAAGGGGGCACCTTTCCTGCCCTCTGCAGCGCTTGGGAGCACTTCCCTCGGCCCCAGGAAGGGAAAGCCTCCCCCTCACTGGGGCACTTGACTCTTTTTAGTCGTTGGCTTAATGATTAAGTGTGCTCTTTTAATGTATTTCTTAATTTTTGTGGATTACTGTTCTTGCAACTGTAAGAGTAGTTATCCTTTGGGGAGGCGGTATGAAATGCATCTCCAGAAAATGCATTCTTCATCTGCCACCCGATGTTACATCCATTTCCTGCCGGACAAGCGAGCTGCAGCTCAGACGGTGGTTTTCTTCATTCGCATCACTGAGGTTCCTGTTGGCTCCAGCGTGGAAGAGCTACCGTGGCAATCCGGGGGGAAAAGGGCCACCATCTGCTGAGAAAGTCAGAGGAGGGCTGGTGGGCAGAGGGAGGGGGGCCCTCGCCGTCTCTTCCGCCAGCATCCCCGCCTGACGCTTCAGCCTGAAGGACTTTCTGCTCGCAAGAGGGACTTCCTGAGGTCAAGCGGTCCGTGGTCTGGTATTTTCCCACACTTCCTGGAGCTGCCTGTGGATCGCAAGTTCGTCGACCTAAAGACGGCCTTGACCTGCACGCGCTTCTTTAGCAACGAAGGCTCATTCTCCTGAATGAGTTTTCCAGTTGGGAAAGCAGTTCTGTAGCAAGCCAAGAAAGCGGGGGGGG